ATCAAGCATATTTGATCCTCGGGTGGGAAAATCGACTACCTGATCCCACATGTGGTATCTACGACCTCTATTAAGTCCTCGAACTTTGAAGGACCGAAGGGTGAAAAAATATCGAAATTCGGAAAGATTGAGGCCACCTGGAATCAAGCAATACTGGTACCGTGCTGGTAGGTTGTGACCGCACTGTCAGTGCGGGAACGCGAATTCCGGAGAAAAATATTGATGTATTGGTTTTAACACCTCCGCCATATTTTCTGGAGGGTAGCTGTGTGCTTGACGCTGTTATAACATCATGTAATAGTGTGCGACGTCGGAGAAGTCGGGCAACAAAGTGCTACAAATCGTGGCTCCGATTGTTGCACAATGATATATTGTTTCTGCTCTTTTGACACGTAATTAGCTCAAAATAGCTGATATATTATAGAACATGTATAAAACGACTCCCATCTGAAAGGCTTTTTGATCTGCTTATGAACCTCGTATGAGTGCTGCGAATAATTGTCTGAGCTAAGCTACTAATGAGGTTTAAACTAGAAAACCGGAGATTATGACCAAATACATTTCAAAAGATCGAGAAATATCACCGGAAAATGAAGTTTATTGGTCTGAAGTTTTGGATTCTTGCTTGGACTCATCTTCAGAGACAGTCACAGAGGGGTGCAGTATATTTAACATGCAATTGCCATGCAGTCGTGTACCTTAACAACTTAGACGATTTCGTTTTAATTGCTTGTGGTCGTATATTGTATGATGATGGCCCCTTGGTCCACGTTCGGGACGTTAATGGTTGAATTTTAAATACCGCTCTCGATTCTTGGTGTGATGAATATTAGACAATTTCGTCCGCTATTGCCAGAACATGTAACCACCCGCGTCTTCCTCACATGACTAATTACTCGCGCTAGGCGACGTCCCAGCATATAACGTAGTGAAGTAGTTAATAATTTATTTCAGCCCAGACCAATCACTCCAAGACTCACATGGTTTTCAGCCCTTTTTAACGTTTGATAATACATTGAGGATGCATGTCAGCAGTATGTTCGGCGAACTACGATCCCAATATGATCCTGCAATTACTGCAGAATTTTTAATCATAAAGCATTTCTAGGTATGCATATCAAGGTTAAATGAAAGAAACTTCGGATACTCAAATTCTTTAAAGAGATCTGACACCATTTTTGGTCATTTCGAACAAAACGTACGCACATGTCAAAGGGGCCTCGATAAGTCCAGCACTGTTATAAGCAGACGAATCTTTGTGTGTACTAAAATAACTTCGCAAATATTTTTTAAAATCTTAGTCACAAAAGGATTTCGGGTAAAAAGTAAGGCAACCGCAAATGTATTGTTTTAATTTTTGTAGACATCACATTTTTGATAAGATCGCGCCACTTTAGAGACGTTCGCTAAGTTTTAGGTTATTTGTTTTTTTTGGTTATATTACTTGACTTTCACATGATTTTCTTGCTACGTTTCAGCTTTTTTGACGTTATTTGTACGTTTTGCTAGGCTTGTTAAAGTCCAGAGGCTACTAACACTCGAACATGATGTATGCACTTTACTGAAATCGTCGCCTTTTTGCGCAACTTTTCGGAAGTCTGAATTCTCATAATTTTGGAAAGGCACTTAGTCCATTAGCGTGCATACTTAGAAACCCAGATTTTGATCTGGGCTCTTTGCCGGTACATATGTTAACATATGTATGTACGTGAATTCACGTAATGCCATAATTCGTACAGTTAGAACAGTTTTGTTAAGCATCGCTTTCTTCGAAATATGTGCTTATAAAACCTGCTTCTTTGTTCAGTAGCTATCACACGCTTGTGTAAACAGTGAACTCCGGATTAATTGTTTTACCATTAGCTATTTTGATTTACTTTCTAAATGGCCCCTTATCGCTTGTAAATGCGCACGAGCTTCAAATGCCTTTTTCCGGAAAGTAGTGTAGTCTTGCTACGCCCATTCATAATATTAAAACAGCAGCGTGTGATCAAGTGCTTGTTGCATTTTGGACTGCCTTTCACATTTCGTTAGGTTTAGTTGGCTTCCAGGCTTACCACGTTGGTAATCACTATTACCTTTAACAATTATTCACTCTTATCGATATTAAAAAACAGTAATTTTCATTCGAATGTTCGATGTCCAAAGTTTTGCGCCTCAAAAATTAATTTTCTACTGTCACGGTTCCCTTAAAGAAAGTTATCTGACTGAAGATCTCGAAGTATTGAGCTATTAAGTTTCTAGGCACGGAGGAATTTAAAAATAATGTCTGTAGCACAAATAGTATGAGTAGAATAATAAACAGTGAAGAATGCGCGACCAGAGCTTAAGTGTGCATCAAAAATTTCAACAGTTCAGTACCTAGAGAGCATCGTAGCCTGTTAATAGCAAACTGATCTGTATTTTCCACCAACGCTTATATACGTGCATTTTTTCACAGGCATAATGGAAGAGCCGCCGGTACCAATGAGTGAACTCGATCAAATCAAGTTCAAAATGAACACCGTTACAGACGAGGTGCGTCTTCCTTCTGCCATTTTGTGCCATTAGTTGATTGGCTTTGCAGCGATTGGTCTACCTAGACTCAGTTGATTGGTCGGACAGCTTACAAGGTCTAGTAGGAAGAAATCATCCAATCAGCCATTACTTTCATCTATACCCTTTCCTGTTTGTTTGTACCGTAATCATGG